AGTTCTCAAAGTTCATCATATTTGCTGAGGGATTCATGGTTTGGTGCTGATAATTTCCTTGAGATGAGGAGTTGAAGTTTTTAGGGACAAAGTTGAGGTCACTCCTGTAGTAACAATTTTCTGCAGTATGATTATTGTAGTGGCATATCTGGCACCTTGATCTTCCATTGTTGAAGGATCTTCCTCTCCCTCTGAAGTTCCCTTGCCTTCCTCTACCTCTAGCTTGAAACCCTTGATTGGTACCCCTTCCTCTCTGTCCTCCTTGAAAGCCACCTCTTTTGAAATTTCTAGTTTGTCCTTGTGCTGCCAAGTTTACTGAAAAACCTGATTCTTCATTATGATTGTTATATCCTTCAGTAGCTTCAAGCCTATTTTCAACACTCAGGAGGATAGAGTGAACTTCTCTTAAAGTGCAGGGTTCAGATCTGGAAGCAAGGGACACCATCACTGCATTATACTCAGATCCAAGTCCTGAGATAATGTGAGCTATCTGATCTGTTTTATCAATTCTTTGTCCAGCTGAAGCCAACAAGTCACAACATTGTTTCACTTTGCTCAAGTACTCTCTCATTGGGAGGTTACCTTTCTTGAAGGTTTGGAGTTGCAGTTTGTACTGCATGATCTTAGCTTGGTTTTGGCTGGAAAATGTGACTTTGAGAGACCCCCATATTTCTCTTGCTGTGGTAAGCCCTACGGTTGAGATTAGCACACTTTCTGAGAGTGAAGATAGCAACCATGATGTTAAAAGTTGGTCTTGTCTCATCCATGCTGAGAAGAGTGGATTTGTTATGGCTCCTTCACTAGATCCAGTGGGTAAGTGCTCTTCTGGTTTGGGTAAAGACCCATCGAGATACCCCCATTAATCCATACCCTCTTGTTGCAGCTAAGATCTGTTGCTGCCAGATCAAATAGTTACTGTCAGTGAGCTTTACTGTGATTAACTGACTTTGTGGTTAGATGATTTGATCTGGGCTGTTGCTTGTGGCTGTGGATAAGGAACTCATTTTCGGATAAGGTTAGGAAGAAGCCAAAGAAATAAACAAACAAATGGAAAAGATAGGTACTCAGATACAGGATGAGATCATCCTACTCTGATACCATAATGGAAAATCAGATGCAACATGAAACAGGTAAACATTGAGCTATAAGCTTTGATCTCCATTAATTATTTATCATAAAAGCAGCAGCTATTTTTCTCAATTTTTGATGATTACAAAATGGTATAGAGGTGATATTTATATCACATGCTCTAAGCTATTGTGAACCACACAAAACAAACCCTAAGGAGATAAGTTGACATTTTCCTTTTTGACAGCTCATAATTCTTGTATTACTTCAAGCATTCCCAACTCTTGTTCCTTTATGCTGCATGGCCCCATTACACGTATGCATGGATGATGTGGAACAAGGTGTTGACATGACAAGGCTCTCATGACTACAGTGTTGACTTTCTTGACTTTTAGCTGGAACAAGGGCTGGCCCAATGCGCTTCTTCTCTTGGCACTAGCGCACACAAGGTCACAACTCTCGGCTTTCTCTCAACTTAGGCTAAGTATGGAGTATAATCTGGACTTGCTGAATTTATTGAAGTAAAAATCATCTCCAGTCTGATCATAGGCTATTTATAGGAGAATTAAAGGGTAAACAAGCATGAGGTGTTACTTAAAATGCGCCACGTAATTAAGCTTTAGTGGCACAAACAAGTAGCTTAGTCATAAGCTAGGTGTCCAAACCTCAATAACTTAGCTAATTAAGGTTTTAAAGTTATAAAATGGTTGAATAACCTACTTAAGCTTCTAATAAAACAATAAACTCGGCATTAGGTCTAGCGCTGAGGGCTATGCGCGGCTAGGCGCGCGTGCTTGGCTAGTGCGCTAGGTTTCCTAGTGCCGTGAACATATGATCAATACTTAGACTATATTAGCTGATTTCTTGGCTGAAATATAACACTTAATGCTAATAAAATTTTTAGGAAAAATACTTATAATATTTAGCTAGGGTTTGAGCAAGGCTCGACACAACTCGGGCCAAACTCGTTCGATTCCGATCGTGGCTCGATTTCGACGATTTACTCGAGTATTCTTGACTTCGAGCAATACGTCAACTTGAAATAATTAATCCCGAACTTACTACTGTCCATTTTGTGATCCTCGGCATGGATTGGTAGACCCGCTACCGAGCCGACATCCGTTGTCTTAAGCGAGAGGTGACCCTTCATCCCACCGACGGCCAGCCGATCACCTTCTATGGAGCCAAGACGAGGACAATGCCTCAAGTCATATCTTACTTAAAGGCGATTTAGAGTCTGTCCAAGGGTAGCTGTCAAGGCTACTTGGTGAGTATCGAGAAAACAGAGAGGACTCCAGAGAGTGTGTCTATCGTATGTGAGTACCTAGATGTGTTCCCGGAGCAGTTGCCAGGAGAAGCACTGGATCGCCAGGTCGAGTTCACGATCGACATAGTACCCGGAGCTGGTCCCGTTTCGAAGGCCCCGTACCGTATGACACCGAAGGAGCTTCAAGAGCTCAAGGCCCAAATCCAATAGTTGCTCGATCTCGATTTTATTAGACCGAGTGTTTCTCAGTGAGGAGCGCCCGTTCTATTCGTGAAGAAGAAGGACGGATCTATCCGCATGTGCATCGACTACCGTGAGCTTAATATCCTTACGATTAAGAACAAGTATCCCCTTCCCCGCATCGAAGACCTTTTCGACCAGCTGAGGGGAGCCAACATTTTCTCGAAGATCGATCTAAGGTCTGGCTACCATCAACTGAAGATCAGAGATTCCGACATCTCTAAGACCGCGTTCCGGACTAGGTACAGACATTATGAGTTCGTGGTGATGCCCTCCGAGTTGAGTAATGCGCCAGCGATGTTCATGGACCTTATGAAGAGGGTCTTCCATCCGTATCTAGACCACTTTGTTATCGTGTTCATAGACGACATTCTGGTGTATTCTCGGGACGTAGAGCAGCACAAAGAGCATCTCCGAATTGTGCTAGAGACCCTTCGCCGCGAGAAGTTGTATGCAAAGTTCTCGATGTGCGAGTTCTGCCTAGACCGAATGGCATTCCTTGGTCACATCGTGACGGCTAGAGGCATTGAGGTTGATCCCGAAGATTGATGTCATTGCTATGGTTGTATATTGTGATGATGTCTTTGGAATAAATGAGTAACGCCACAAATGTTTGAAATGAGTTTTGAAAAATTAAATTAATTTTTCTGAAAAACCATGGATTTTCGTTAAATCAAAGTGGGGCGTTACAATAACAGTTCTTTGGCTTTAAAGATTGAAAAAATTCATACTTAGAAAAGTCGAAAACTTTAATTTAAAAGTGGGAGATTATTTGAGTATATTGTAGAAGCTAGGCTTTGTGTTACTCTCAATTCTATTTCGAATGATATTCATATTTTTAGTCAAGTGTATGTTCATAGTTTATTTATTTATGTGAACACTGAGGCTGAAATCAGACCGCCTAGACATATCTGACGAAGAGTTAAATCTCGAACCAGATCTGGGCTCCGAAGACTTTCAACACTCGGGAAAGAGGGTAGCCGTATCGAAACACCGGAGGGCTCGAAAATATGCTCTAGAGTCAGGACGTGGTGAACCAGCGACCAGACTAGAGCCAAGGAGATAGGGGGAGCGGCGACCCAACTCTGACCATGTCTCCAGCAAAACTCCGGGCAGGGTTGAAATAGAGCCTCCAGTCGCGCCTCAAGCATGG